TTATGTGGTGCAGCATGATGTTTCGATATATGCATATGATATACAATGATCAGATTAGGGTAATTAGCATATCCATCACCTCATACGTTTGTCATTTCTTTGTGGTGAGAACAGTCAAAATCCTTTCTTCTACCTATTTTGAAATATACAATGTATTATTGTTAACTATAGTCACCATCCTGTGCAACAGAACACTGGAATTTATTCCTCTTGTCTAACTGTAACTTTACATCCATTGACCAACCTTTTCCCAACCCCCTTCCTTTCCAGCCTCTCTAACAACTATAATAACCACTATTCTACTCTATACTTATATGAGATCAACTTTTTGAGATTCCACATATGAGTGAGATCATACAATATTTGTCTTTCTGTGCCTGGCTTATTTAATTTGACATGATGTCCTCTAGGTTCATCCATGTTGACACAAATGACGGGATTTTCTTTTTTTTATGGCTGAAATAGTATTCCATTGTGTATATATACACCACATTTTTTAATCCATTCATCTGTTGATGCACACTTAGGTTGATTCCATATTTTGGCTATTGTGAATAGTGCTGCAATAAACGAGAGTGCAGATATCTCTTCAACATGATTTCATTCCCTTTGTATATCTACCCAGTAGTGGGATTGCTGGATCATATGGTAGATCTGTTTTTAGTTTTTTTGAGGAACCTCCATACTGTTTTCCATAGCGGCTCTACTAATTTACATTCCCACTGACAGTGTATAAAAGTCCCCCTTTCTCCACATCTGTGCCAGCATTTGTTATTTTTTGTCTTTTTGGCAATAGCCATTCTAACTGGAGGGAGGTAAAATCTCATTGTGATTTTGATGTGTATTTCCCTGATAACTAGTGATGTTGAGCATGTTTTCTTATACTTTTTGGCCATTTGTATGTCTTCTTTTGAGAAATGTGTATTCAGATCTTTTGTTTATTTTTTAATTGGATTATTTGGTGTCTTTGATGTTGAGCTGTTTGAGTTCTTTATATATTCTGGATATTAACCTCTTGTCAGATGCATAGTTTGCAAATCTTTTCTCCCATTCTGTAGGTTGTTTCTTCATTCTGTTTCTTTTGCTGTGCAGAAGCTTTTTAGTTTGATGTAATACCATTTGTTTATTTTTGCTTTTGTTGCCTATGTTTTTGAGGTCTTATCCAAAAAATCCTGGCCCAGACCTATGTCATGAAGCATTTCCTCTATGTTTTCCTCCAATAGTTTCATAGTTTCAGGTAATATATTTAAGTAGTTAATCCATTGTGAGTTGATTTTTATAAGTGGTGAGAAATAGGAGTCTAGTTTCATTCTCTTGCATGTTTTCCCAGCACCATTTATTAAAGAGATTGTGACTTGGATAAATTTATAAGGAGTACATATAAATGGGAAATAAAGGGGGGTGTTGAAAAGTAATAAACGTTAGAGAATATTATCAGCTATGTAATATGTAAATTACATAGAAGGTACATATTTATCGACAATTATTTTATGTATCTAAATATTCCAGAACGAATCCTAGAACATTGCTTTTGAGATATAATTTAATTCTAAATAATGAAAGATTAGGAAATTTATTCTTTAAGATGATTGATTTGGTTCACAGTACTTTCCATAATATTCAGTGTTGATTTTTTTTTGATATTTCATTAACATATCTGAGGTTTGGGAATTTAAAATAAGTTTTTATAAATAAACACAAATATACTTGTTTTTTTAATATGGGAAATACATGTTAATCTTGATGGAGAAATGATTGTTCAGTAGTTAATGTTAGGATCACTAATTAGACTATGGAAATAAAAAGAAATCTAGACTTCTCCTTATTACCTTTATCAAAATAAACTTCAGATTGATCAAAGATGTAAATGTGAAAAATAAAACTGTAGTAGTACTAAAAGACCAGAGAAGTGTAGAGGGTGTGGTATGAGAGAATGCTTTACATATATGACATTAAAGCTGGGGTCTCTGCAAGAAAATGTTGCCATGTCTATTTAATAAGAACTGTAATAAGATTATAAATAATAAACTAGGGAAATATTTTTAATACAGGTTAGGCAAAGCATTAATATTCTTAATATACAAAAAAACCCAAAGGACAATGGACATATATAGTATGTCACTGGAAAAGAAGCATGAATAACCAACTAAAATATGAAAAGATGTTCATTCACTCTCATGCCAAAGAAATGCAATTAAAACAAGAATGAGGTTTTTTTCATATGGTTAATTGGCAAAGATTAAAGGTATATATCATATTGGTGAATGTATGGAAATGAAGTCACTGTCCTTCACTATTGTTGGGAGTATAAATTAGGGTAACATTTTAGAAGCCAATTTTGGCACTAACTAGCGAAACAATAACATGTACAAAGTTGTCTACCTAACCATTTCACTTGAACAAATTTATTCTAAATAATATATGTAATGATAAATATACAAGGATGATCTTTGAAATATTGACTATCAAAAAGCAAGAAACCTTGATGTTCAGTCATAGGCTACCAGTTACATTAATTATGGTATTGCTGTTCAACAGGATATAATGCAAGTATATATAAAAGTAAAGAAATGTATTTAAATGTGGAAATTGGTGAGGAGAGTAAGTTGGATAACAATATGCATAGTATCATCTCATTTTTGTAAATTCTTTAAATTTAGAGATAAATACTTTGGCTTTTTTACATAGAAAATTATAGGAAGAATACATGAAACATTTAACAGTGATTATGGAAGAGGGGTGAAAAAGGACAAAATCTGGTGTAGAGAAGATCCTTACTATTTGCATTATACCTTTTTATCTCACTAAAGTGTTTTTTAAAACTCTCATCTCATATTAAGCCTTACTATTTTAGGCCAGTATACCCAGTGGAAGAATTAGAAGAAGAAATTGTTCCAGAAGATGATGCAGAATTAACATTAAATAAAGTAGACGAAGAATTTGTGGTATGTGTGTAGCTAAACTCGCTATTCATTTTCACCTTTGTGTTCCTTTCCCATCTATTAATTCCCCCAGACTTCCATTTTCTGGAATATTTTATTTCATTGTTTCTAGAGAAAAAAAGCTTTTACATACAGTGCCAAGTGTCAGTCATTTAGACCTTGGTTAAGTTGATGTTTGTGTTCTCTAATGATTGAGGTCTGAATTTTAGCAGAGCTTCTTTTTTTTATTATTTATTTATTTATTTATTTATTTATTTTTCTTTAAATAAATAGAGATGGGTCTTGCTCTTGCTCAGGCTGGTCTCAAACTCCTGAGCTCAAAGGATCCACCCTCCCTGGCCTCCCAGAATGCTAAGATTACAGGCGTGAGCCACTGCGCCCGGCCAGCAGAGGTTCTTAAACTACACAAGGAAGTATATACCACTAGTTATATGAGTAATTATTTTATTAGCAACCATTGATGATCTTAAATAGGCCATGACTCAAAGAATTTAGAACAAAACAATAGAATTTAGGATTAATATAATACATTCTGCTTCATAAGAATACCATTCATTTCTAAGGAATTCCTTTACATATTTCAAATTAGGATGGGTACTGCCCTACAGGAGTTTTTAAAAAATGCTTTTAAATAACCATCATTATTTAAGTTGTTTGGCAGCATCTGCACCTTTTTCCATGCTTAACATCCTGTCCATAGTGTGAAACTAAATGGTCAAGTCTCTACAAATATATTAGACTAAAGAGATGATAGAGACAAAAGAGCTTTTTCTCAAGTTAATTTTTTCTCAGCACTAGAAATGGATTGACCCTGATAGTTTAGAAAGTGTAAAAGTTATCTGAAACAGAAATGGTGGAAAAAACAACCTCATGGTGTAGAGTTGACCCTTGAACAATGGGATGGCTAGGGGTGCTGGCCCCCACACAAAGATCCATGTCTAACTTAGGACTGCCCAAAACATAGCTGCTAATACCTGACTGTTGACCAGAAGCCTTGCTGATAATACAAATAGTTGACTAACTGTTTTGTATTTTGTATAATATTTTGTATATTATATATATTTTTAATATATAGTATTCTTATGCTAAAGTAAGAGAAGAGAAAAAAGAAGATCATCAGGAAGAGAATTATATTTACTATTCATTGAATGAAAGTAGATTACCATAAAGGTCTTCGTCCTTGTCTTCACATGGACTAGGCTGAGGAGGAGAAAGAGAACAGCAAGAGATAAGAAGAGGGTTGTTGGTCTTGCTGTCTCACAGAAGGCAGAAGCGAAAGAAAATCTGTGTGTTAGTGGACCCATGCAGTTCAAACCCACGTTGTTCAAAGGTCAACTGTATTTTACTGTCATAAACCAATTAAACATTTTAGGTGACTTTTTTTTAAATCAATAGATAATAGTTTTTAGTTGAAAGTAAGTTACTTAAGTAATTTAGGTTTATTATTTAAATTAGTATATGCCACAGAGGTAATAATCACTGCATTATTTGAATAACAAATCTTTAAAAATATACAGTAAATAAATTAGACTATATTCAAATAGAATGTTATGTAGTCATTAAAAATTGTTTTCAAAGAAATATTAGTGACATGGGAATGATGACTTGTACTTTATGCTATAAAATTATTTGAGAAAAGGATTTCAAATTTTGTCATCATGACCTCAACTATATAAAAATGTTAAAAAAATGAAGATATTAACATTAGTTATATATGGGTAGAAGGATTATGGGCGATTCTTTTCTGTGCTTCTTTGTGTTTTCAAAGTCTTTAACATGTATTTTATCAACAGTATAAACATGTTTAACCATATATATAAAAAGGATTACTGTTATTTGCAGAAGGAAAAAGATCATTGTAAAACTAATCAATTTAAAAGATATCTTTTTTTAATGTCATAAATTTAAAAAGTCAAAGCAAGAATAAATTCATTCATTCTGTATTGTGTTGGACATTTTAAACAGTTTAGACTTTATTCTTTGTGCAATAGATCTTTCCATTCAAGCTCAAAAATTAAGTCCTCACATATTCCCAATTGTTCACCTCATTTATTCTACTCAGTTATTTACCTCATCTTGTCTTCTTAATAACTAATAGTAATTAATAGTTTGATAGATACTTGGTCCTATTAATAGTATATCAACATTTAACTTCAAAGACATATAACCTAAATCTCTAGTCAGGGGAAAAAAAAAACCTACTAATCAGGAGAGAAAAAATCTGAGAGGAAAAACCATGCCTAATTTTGCTCAGTGTTCTATCTCCAGCTTATTGTGCAGGACCTGGTGCATAGCAGGTGTTCATTAAATATTTGACCATAAAATCCATCTGTCAGCACATTTTTGTGTAACTTTTAGAAATTATAGCTAATTTTTTTCTAGGAACCCTTTAAAATTCAAAGCAGCATTATTGGGAGTATAAATTTAGAGAAATATACTAGAAAGCAGCCTCTTCACATATTTCTTCCCAACCATGAGGTAAAGACCTTCTATCATAAGACCAAACTGAAGGCCTTCTTCAAAGGGGTTGCCTCTGAGGCTGTTCATTCCCTTGCATCATGTCTCTTGAATATTTTTTCTTTCCTTTCTTCCTTATTGTCATCACATGGGGCCCTCTCTTACTTCTTCTGTTCTTCTTGCTAAGGAGAACTGGTTCACTGCCAAGAAGCCTTTTGATGGTGAGCTATTACTAGATTCTGTTGCCAGAGTTTATGGGGTTGCTCAAGGATGGTGATGATCATTTCTGACAGAGTTCTACTATAGTCATCTAGAAACTAGATGGCCATATCAAGATAGGACATGTTGATAATTGTAAAAAAGAGTATTGGTTGTGACACTGAATATTCTCACCTGCTATATATAATCATATCCTTAGTAATTAGAAGTAAGAGAATTAAGAAGGTACATATCAGGCAAAGAAATGGCAGGAAATTGTTGAGTGCCTTTTGAATTATTAGATTAGAATCTTAATTTATCCTAATAGTTTAAAATAAACTAAACTATTTTAAGCCTATTTACATTTGAACTTCTTTTGAATGCTCTTAATAATATTTAGTAACTTAAATCCTTTTTCTATGTAATGATTTGGGTTCTCCAGAGAAACAAAACCAATAGGAAATACACACACACACACAAACACACATATATTTTATAGAGAGAGACTTACTGTAAGAAATTGGCTTACATGGTTATGGAGGCTGAAAAGTCCCAAGATCCACTGTTGGTAAGCTGGAGACCCAGGAGAGCTGATGGTAGAATTCCAGTTTGAGTCTGAAGGCTGATAACTAGAAGGGCTGAGCTGATCATGTAAGTTTCAGTCCACATCTGAAGGCAAAAGAAGACCAATGTCCCAGTTTGAAGACAGGCAGAGAGTAAATTCTCTATTACTCAGACTTTTTGTTCTATTCAGGCCTTTAACAAATTAAATAAGGCCCATACTTACTGGGGAGAGGAATCTGCTTTACGCAGTCTATCAGTTCAATTATTTATGTTATCCAGAAATGCCCTCACAGACACACTCTGAATAATGTTTAACCAAATATCCCATGGCCCAGTCAAATTGACACACAAAATTAACCATCATAAGTCCACTCTCTATCAATCTGGCATGCATACACATCATCTTAAACCATCATCTTCAAATAAAGACAATAGCAAGGTCATAATTCTGCCTAACATAGTATAACTATTCCATATACAACAGATAACACACTAACTCCTTCCCCAGCAGAGGAGGTAAAGTCCTTGAGTGATGTTTACTCTTTGCCTTGATATCCTATAACTTAAATACTATGATGTAAAAATAACAATACTTAAATACTATGACATAAAGTTAGTACATCTTAAGTTACATAAGGAAATATGGGAGGAAAGAAAACAAAAATGTCTGCATAAGAATATATTCATAACTAAATATGAACTACTCATGACAATGATCCTCATTTCTGTAACTGGTCACATGCTTGTAGCTGGCGTTTATTTATTTCAAAATATTAAGGGGTGAAAATGTTTTTGTTACATGGATAGCTTTTGTAATGCCTGAATGAGGTTTATGAGAGTGCCCATCTCCCAAATAGTGTTCATTGTACCTTTAGGTAGGATTTTTGTCCCTCCCTTCCTCCCTGTAGCTGATATTTATAACTGCTTTCTTACCCTCTCTGTATTATCTTTGCCTTCAGCAAGTACCACAGCTGATTGTTGTTCTTTACCTGGTGGAGTGACCCAAACCTTTATTCCTGAAGGGTGTGGGCCATTAGTAGTACTGCCTGTATTGGGTTGTTGTAATTTTCTGTTGACTTTAATCACAGGGCATCGTAACACTAAGAGATGCCTTAAAGGATCTTTTGTATTCCAGACATACTCTTCCTACATCCATTGTGGAGTAGCAGTCCAATCAGGATCTAGCCAGCCAGTACATTAACTCCTTTCTTTTCCTGTTGATTCAGAGGTATGAGGAGCCCAAAGTGGCAGCCTTAACTTCCAATTTAATGGGATCATTGTATCTCCTGGTGGAAGAAGCATTCTTCATTTTGGAACTAAGACCTTTAGGCCAGCAAATCATAAGGTCATGGGAACAGGAAGCAAAAATTTTGCTAGTGGGCTACTAGGGATAATAGCAAGTGGTGCCACTCCCATTTCTACCCCTTGATTCCCGAACCTGTGAATCCTGGCTATGGGAAGATGTTGGACCCTCATTGATTTTAGTAGCTACTATTTAAGGTTTTTACTTAGTAGTGTTCAGTCTAATGTAATTCAACAAGTATTTATTGATTGCCTATATAAACACTACTGATTAGGTTATTGTGAAAGCATTATAACTTATCTCTTCTCCTATGGGCATTGAGTCATTGGCATTTCAATCATTTACTTTGACTGTTAAGTAGACTATTATTAGTGCAAACACAGAATAAGTCATTTTTCAAAAGTGTGCATCTATGCTTCCGATTTAAGATACAAACAATCAGTTTCATCTGTACTTCTGTGCCCCACTCCCTAAAAAAAAATTAAATGTCACTTGAGTGTGTAGACTCTACATTTATATTGTTTTTTCTTTTACTAAAATCTTTCCAGTTCTCCAAAGTTTAGCATAGGTCTCATGTCATACTTCAATGGCCCCTCCCCCAGAATTTCTGAGTAGATCTGGGATAGAGCCTTAGAATTGCATTATAATGAGTTCCCAGGTGATACAGATGCTGCTGGTCTCAGAACCACACTTTGAGAACCGCTGTTTAATATGTTTCTAAATTCTTGAAGATAAGGATTATCTTTGAAATCTACAATTGCAACTTTATGCAGTTCCACATATGGAAGTGTTCACCAGTGGACACTCACTTGTTGGTTTGTTTTTTTCTTTACTAGATCATATGACTTGAGGACCAAGCTCCATTGGCTTTATTACCATGTCCTTAGGATCAAGATAGTCTTGTTAACTTTGTTTCATTTACTATGTCAATTGTCACCACAAAGACATTTGAAGAAAAAGGGAGTTCATATTTTGTCCTACATGTTCATAGAACCTGCTCAGACTCCATATTTACTGCATATTGGGAAGAGGGTTTCCTCTCAAAGGGCCACTTCCTACCCCTAACTCCTACAACCAATTGGTCTGCAGATCAGGACTAGCTTGGAATCACCTGAACTATACTTTTAAATAGATTTAGGGCCATGGGCCAAGCAGTGCTGGTAACCATTACCTTATCAAACTGGAGCATACAAGAGATGGGATGTCAAAAATATGCATCAATGTGATTGGTTTTTAGAGCAAGTGAGAATATTCTGTGCCTATAACCTCTCATTTTTGTCCATTTCAATCATATTGCTCAAACTCCTATTTATTTAAGATAAACCACTTGGGTCTGTTTCCCTTTCCTGTTTTTGTGTTTATCTGCAATGGCTCCCTTCCTTCCCCTCCGTTTTTTTTCTTTCAGTGACTGCAAAAAATGTTCTATTTAAATGGTCCCATCAAAACCTCAAAAGCCAGATGAGCTGTTAATAATATTATGCCTTACTTTATACATGCATTCACTGGGTTTTTGAATGCCCTTTCCTGCATAAGTCTTTATATCAAGCTTAGTATAGTTTAGTATATTATGTATGTGAAAGCTGGAAATGTATTTTTTAAATTATAATTTTTATAATTACTTTTAAATTCTTTTATTTTCCTAAGGAAGAGGAGACAGATAATGAAGAAAACTTTATTGATCTCAACGTTTTAAAGGCCCAGACATATCACTTGGTAAGTTTCATCGGATACACACAGGACCATCAAGCAATCAGTGTATGTGTCCTGCTGGAAATTTAAATGAGTAGAAACCATGGTTGGCCATTGTTTTGCATGCCATTTGGAAAGTCGCTCTCAAAATTGCTTTCCTATATATAAAATGTTATAATTATAGCAAATATAAAAATCTAGAGAAGCAAGTGAGACTTCTTCCTGTCTATACCATAGAAAATCAACACAGTGCTTCTCGTGTAAACTGAAAATAATTTGCCTGGTGGCATTTTTTATTATGGAAAGACATTAATTATTCTATTTCAAGCTATTTTCCATTATAATAGGCCAGGATTGAATGATCTTGATTATGGGAAAGTACTTAAATTGTAATTCTTTGAAATAAAATGGAGTATCTTAAGACTGGTACGTGCATAGGTAATCAGATGTTGCTTTTAGTCAGTTTTTTACTGTGTTTTAATTATAAAATAAATCCAATCTATAAAAGAGTACACACCCAGTGAGCTATTTCAAATGTACATATTTTGCATTTTTCTATATGTATATTATATTTCAATAAAGTATATACCTATTGCACCTTCAAAAAATACATATGCAATATAATATTTTTATTTGTCCTCTATTTAGTTTTTCTTGTCTGAGTCCTCAAAACAAGTTTGGATCTAGTTTTGGTTTCACATCATGAAGACTTCTTGACCACCTCTCCCCAGGATGATCTCTTCATTTATCTTATACTGCCATAGTATTGTTAATTCTCATTAATTATTATTAATGATGTGTGTGTTTTCTGCCCAACTTAAGATATAATATAACATGTGGCTAACTTGCCTGAGTGTGTAACTTGACTTTAATACTGTCTAGGATTCCAACTTTGGGCAAGATTTCAAACTTCTTGTGCCTCATCTTCATCTGTAAAATAAAAGTTTTACCTTTTACATAGGGTTTTTGGAGATTAAGAGACTTACTACACGTAAGACTCTGTAACAATATCTATCACGTAGAAAGTACTCTGAAGTATTGGCAAAAACCAAAACTCCTATTCCTTCACCTTCCCCTTCTGAAATCTGATTTGTAAGCTCCTTGGTAACAGGGATAACTATGCTTTTTTATATTCCCTGTACTATAACACAGAAGGTA